CCCCACCCAACCCAGTAGAGCCCCCACAACCCAATACATCCCCACCCAACTCAGTAGAGCCCCCACAACCCAGTACATCCCCACCCAACCCAGTAGAGCCCCCACAACCCAGTACAGCCCCACCCAACCCAGTAGAGCCCCCACAACCCAGTACAGCCCCGCACATCCCAACGCATCCCAGCCGGGGGCACAGGGACACGGCCACCAACGCGGTGTCCCCGGGGGCGCCAGGGCAACGTGGCGTTCGTGGCCGAGGGTGAGACGGCGGCGGTGGCCGACGAGGGGCTGCTGGCCACGCTGGCCGAGCTGACGGGCACGGCGCCGGCGCGGCTGCGCCAGGCTCTGCTGGCCCGCACGGTGGCCGCCGGCGGCGGAGAGCTCATCGAGAAGGGCCACAGCGCCAAGGAGGCCGCCTACGCGCGCGACGCCTGCGCCAAGGTGAGCCCGGGCGCCCGCGGGGACTGTGGTGTCCCCAGGCCACCGCTGATGCTGCTCGCTGCCGCGTCCAGGCCATCTACGAGCGGCTCTTTGGTTGGATCGTGGGGCGCGTCAACGCCGGCATCGCGGCGCGGGACTACGACGCGCGCCGGCACGGCAAGAGCACCGTCATCGGCGTGCTCGACATCTACGGCTTCGAGATCTTCGACACCAACAGGTGACCTGTGGTGGGACGGGACACGGGGACCTGCTGTAGGTGGGAGATGGAGGGGACCTGCCAGCCCTCGCACGCTGTGAGGGATGTGCCAAGGGGACGGAATGTAAGAGGGAGGGTGACAGGACCTAGGATGGACACATGGAGGGGGCAGGACCATGTGGGACACACGGAGAGGGCAGGACTCTCTAGAGACATGTGGAGGGAAGAGGACAGAAGGGAGACATGGAAGGGACAAAACCCACTAGAGACACATGGACAGAACATGGCACAAAGGGCACAGGGAGGGGACAGGACCATAAGGACGCTTGAAGGAGATAGAATGACACAGGACACAGAGAGGGGACAGGAACACAAAGAACATGTGGATGGGACACACAGAGGGGACAGGACCATAAGGGACATGTCGGGGGGACAGGATGCAGGAGGGACATGTGGCAGGAGGCCTACACTATGGGGACACACAGCAGGTGCCATGGAGGGGACAGGGCACAAAGCCAGGTGGGGACAGGGCCAAGCACGGCAGGGACTGACCCCCGTGTCCCCAGCTTCGAGCAGTTCTGCATCAACTACTGCAACGAGAAGCTGCAGCAGCTCTTCATCGAGCTCATCCTGCGGCAGGAGCAGGCCGAGTACCAGAGCGAGGGCATCACCTGGCAGACCGTGAGCAGGGACACGGGGCCTGGGGGGCGTCATCTGGCAGAGCGTGGCTTTGGGGACACTGGTGGAGTTGCCACCAGGTCAGGGAGGGGATCCTGATCCTGCCCCTCTGCTCAGCTCTGGGGCGGCTAAACCTGGAGCATTGGGGGTAGTTCTGGGCTCCCAGTATGAGGGATGTGGAGCTCCTAGAGCGGGTCCAGCGGAGGGCAACAAAGATGATTAAGAGGATGGAACCTCTCTCTTATGAGGAGAGGTTGAGTGAGCTGGGCCTGTTCAGCTTGGAGAAGGCTGAGAGGGGATCTGATTAACATGTATAAGTTCATGAAAGGGGAATGTAGGGAGGAAGGGGACAAGCTCTTCTTGGTGGTGGCCAGTGACAGGACAAGGGGAAATGGCCACAAGCTGAAACACAGGAGGTTCCATCTCCAGGTGAGGAGGAACTTCTTCACTGTTAGGGTGACAGAGCAGTGGAACAGGCTGCCCAGGGAGGTTGTGGAGTCTCCTTCTCTGGAGGTCTTCCAAACCCGCCTGGATGCCACCCTGTGCCACATGCTCTGGGTGTGCCTGCTTGAGTGGGAAGGTTGGACTAGATGATCTCTAGAGGTGCCTTCCAACCTTGAATATTCTGTGTGATTCTGTGGCTGAGTTGTCACCCAAGAGAGCAAGATTTGGGGGGACGTTGCCTGGCAGAGCATGCTTCCTGGGGACACTAGGGAGGGCACCGCGTGGTCGAGTGGGACTTGAGGGACACTGGTGCGGACATCGCCTGGCAGAGCGAGGTGATGGCTCGAGACTCCATCCTCGCAGATCGAGTACTTCAACAACCATCCCATCGTGGAGCTGGTGGAGCAGCCGCACCGGGGCATCCTGGCGCTGCTGGACGAGGCCTGCCTGGTGGCGGGCACCGTCACCGACGCGCTCTTCCTCGACTCCATGGACAGCCACCTCAGCCGTCACCCCCACTACACCAGCCGCAAGGTGCCCGCCGGCTCCCGGCGTGCCAGCGCGTGGGCTGGGGGGCACGTGGTGGCCGTGGCCATGGGGGTCTGATGCCCCCGTGCCTCTGCCCAGCTCTGCCCCACTGATAAGACGATGGAGTTTGGCCGGGATTTCCGCATCAAGCACTACGCTGGAGACGTCACGTGAGGGGGCTACAGGGGCCAGAGGGGACCATAGGGCACCTTGGAGGGCCATGGGGTCTTTGGGGACCGGGCGGGGGTCTGTGGGTGGCCGTGGCACCATAGGGCTATAGGGTGTCATGGTGGGTCATGAGGAGCCATAGGGTGACGTAGGGAATGTTGGGCATTGGTGGGTGTCATAGGGCCATGGCGAGCTGTGAGGAACCATGATGGGCCATGGGGAGCCATAGGGCACCATGGAGGGCAATAGTCATCTATGAGTGTCATGGGACCCGAGGAGAACACAGGGCACCATGGGGGACCATAGAACCATAGGGGACAATGAGGCCCTAGGGGACTATTGGTAATCATGGAAGTCTATGGGGGACTCTAGGGATCCACAGGAGGTCATGGTGGGAGGCTGTGATGGGTTCTTGCCCCGCTATGTCCCCCACAACAAGGTTTGGGGGAGATGGGGCTGCCCAGACGCCTGGGTCCCTCAGGACAGGGTTGTCCCAGGGCCAGCACAGTGTCCCCCTCCCACAGGTACTCGGTGGAGGGCTTCCTGGACAAGAACAAGGACACGCTCTTCCAGGACTTCAAGCGGCTCCTCTACAACAGGTTGGGGAGAGCCCACCTGGGGCTGGGGACACGCACTGGGGGCTGTCACGGGGTTGGGGACACCGTTGTGGGACTGCTCCATGGGGCAGGAGGATGGCGGCGGGGCTGGGTGCCGCCAGCCCCGTGCCAGCGCCCTGTCCCCAGCACCGACCCCGTGCTGCGCGCCATGTGGCCCGACGGCGAGCAGAGCATCACCGAGGTCACCAAGCGCCCGCTCACCGCCGCCACGCTCTTCAAGAACTCCATGGTGGCCCTGGTGGACAACCTGGCCTCCAAGGTAGCGTCCCCACGCCCAGCGCGCGTGTCCCTGTGCCAGCTGGGCATGTCCCCATGGCAGCTGGGCTGTGCCCGTGTCACCTGGGCATGGCCCTGACCAGCTGGGCATGTCCCCTCGCCAGCGAGGCTGTACCCATGCCATCTGGACGGTCCCTGTGCAAGCTGCACACGGGGCCATGCCAAGCTGACGTGTCCCCATGCCAGATGGGCTGCTCCTGTCACCTGGGCATGTCCCTTTGCCAGCTGGACATGAGCCTGAGCTGACTGGCCATGCTCTGCGCCAGCCAGGTGGTCCCCAGGGCAGCCTGACACGTCCCCAAGCCAACTGCTCTGTCCCTGAGCCAGCGGGCTGTCCTCGTGCCACCCCATCCTTGCATCCACGGAGCCTCCAGGCTCCACGTCCCGCGATGGTCCCCAAGGCGGGCGCAGGGGGCCACCAGGAGGGAGGGGACAGCCGCGTGTCCCCACAGGAGCCCTACTACGTGCGCTGCATCAAGCCCAATGACGCCAAGTCCCCGGAGCTCTTTGACGAGGAGCGTTGCCGGCACCAGGTCTCCTACCTGGGGCTGCTGGAGAACGTGCGGGTGCGACGCGCCGGCTTCGCCTACCGCCAGCCCTACGACCGCTTCCTGCAGCGGTACGGCCGCCCCCGGCCCCCGGGGACCTCCCCGAGGCCCCGCCACCGTCCCCCTTGACCCCCCGGCTCTGTCCCCAGGTACAAGATGACTTGTGAGTACACCTGGCCCAACCACCTCATGGCCACCGACCGCGACGCCACTGAAGCCCTCCTGGAGCAGCACGGCTTCCAGAAGGACGTGGCCTACGGGCGCACCAAGGTCTTCATCCGCACGCCGCGCACCCTCTTCAGCCTCGAGCAGGCGCGGGCGCAGCTCATCCCCATCATCGTCCTGCTGCTGCAGAAGGTGGGCACCACGAGAGGCGCAAGTTGGGTTGGCCACCCAACCAAGGGTGAGGTGGCCACCAAGACAGGGGTGATCTTGGGGATGGGTGCCGCCCAAGCTCCGGGTTGACCCAATGACCTGGCCACGGGTTGGCTCTATGGACCCGGGCTGGAGAGAATGACCGGATGGCCAAGAGGCGGCCTCCATGGTGGGACGTGTGTGGAGCACGGCCACCCAACGTGACCTGCAGCCTCCGGCAGGCCTGGCGCGGCGCCCTGGCACGGCGCCGCTGCCGCTACCTGCGCGCCGCCTACACCATCATGGGCTACTACAAGCGGCACAAGGTCAAGTCCTACCTGCGGGAGCTGGCGCGGCGCTTCCAGGGCGTGCGCGCCATGGCCGACTACGGCAAGAGCGTGGCGTGGCCGGCGCCGCCCGCCGTGCTGGCCCGCTTCCAGGAGGACACGCAGCGCCTCTTCCGCCGGTGAGCCGCGCGCCCGGGCCGCGCGCCGGTGCTCGCGGGGCGCCCCTCGAGCCGCCCGCGCCCTCGCAGGTGGCGCGCCAGGCAGGTGGTCAAGAACATCCCGCCGTCGGACATGGCCCAGCTGCGCGCCAAGGTGGCCGCCTTCGGGGCGCTGCACGAGCTGCGCAGGGACTGGGGGTGCCAGCGGAGCTGGGCACGCGACTACCTCTCCTCGGTGAGGGCTCGTGGTGGTGCCCAGGGCCGGCGGGGACTCGAGGGGGCCCGGCCGCCCTCCCGACGCCCGCGTGTCCCCGCAGGTCACCGAGAACCCGGCGCTGGCGCTGGCCTTCGCCCGCCGCGTGCAGGCGCTGCGGGACAAGGTGCATTTCGGCGCCGTGCTCTTCTCCTGCCACGTGCGCAAGGTGAGGAGAAGCTCGTCCCGTCCCATCCCGTCCCGTCCAATCCTGTCCTGTCCAATCCCATCCCATCCCATCCTGTCTCATCATGTCCCATCCCATTCCATCCCATCCCGTCCTGTCCAATCCCATCCTGTCCCATCACGTCCCATCCCGTTCCATCCCATCCCGTCCTGTCCAATCCTATCCCATCCCATCCTGTCCCATCATGTCCCATCCCGTCCCGTCCAATCCCGTCCCGTCCAATCCCATCCCGTCCCATCCCGTTCCATCCCATCACGTCCCATCCCACCGCGTTCCGTCCCATCCCATCGCGTTCCATCCCATCCCATTCCATCCCAACCCATCCCATCCCGTCCCATCACATCCCATCCCGTTCCATCCCATCGCGTCCCATCCCATCCAACCCATCCCATCCCGTCCCATCGCATCCCATCCAGTTCCATTCCATCCATCCCATCCCATCCCATCCCGTCCCATGCCCTGGTGGGACCGGGTCCCCCCACTGCGGGTCACACCAGCACTGTCCCCGCAGATCAACCGCTTCAACAAGAGCCGTGACCGGGCCATCCTGCTCACCGACCAGCACCTCTACAAGCTCGACCCGCGGCACCAGTACCGGGTGATGCGGGCGCTGCCGCTCAGCACGGTGAGCTTGGGGACAGCTCCCTGCTGTCCCCAATGTCCTGAGCTCCCACCTCCCTGTGACCCAGCTCCTTGGAGTCCCTCGCTGATGGGCTCCCAAGGTCCATGTTCCCTGTGGCCTCCCATCCCGTGTTTCCTGGGGTCCTCCACCTCCCAGTGATCCTGTGTCCTGGTGTCCCAGGTCCCTGGTGCTCCTTGGTGCCCCGTCCCAGCTCCTCCATGTGTCCTCATGCCCTGTTGTTCCTGCTTTCTATTATCCTGGTGCTAGGTGTCCCAGGTTCCTGGAGTCCTTGGGGACTGGGGTCCATGACTGCCAGTATCCCTGTCTCCTAGTGGCCCAGATCCCAGTGATCCAGGATCTCTATGGCCCAGGTCTTAGTGCCCCTCTTAGTGCCCCTTAGGGCTCCTGGTGTCTACAGGTCCTGATGTCTCATCTTCTGGATCCCTGGGACCTCTAACCACTGGGGTCCTGGTATCCCAGCTCCTGATATCCCATCTCCTGGTGTCCCAGGTCCCTCTATCCCTTGTTCTTCGTGTCCCAGGTCCTGGTGTCCCAGGTTCCTCTATCCCTTGTTCTTGGTGTCCTAGGTCATGATGTCCCATCTCCTGGTGCCCCAGGTCCCTCTATCCCTTGTTCTCAGTGTCCCAGGTCCTGGAGTCCCGTGTCCTGGATGCCTAGGACTCTTAGCCTCTGGGCTCCCAGTGTCCCAGCTCAGGACACACGGGACACCCGGACCTCACGTCCCATCTCCTGAGGCCCACACGCGTCCCGCAGGTGACAGGGCTCAGCGTGACGAGCTGCCGGGCGCAGCTCGTGGTCTTCCACACGCAGGAGCGTGACGACGTGGCCGTGTGCCTGCACAAGACGCAGCCGCCGGGGGACAACCGCGTGGGCGAGCTGGTGGGCGTCCTGCTGGAGCACTGCCGCACGTGAGTGGCAAGGAGGGACGGATGGATGGATGGATGAACGGATGGACGGATGGACGGATGGATGGATGGACGGATGGACGGACGAATGGATGGACGGATGGATGGATGGATGGACGGACTGACAGATGGATGGATTGATGGACGGATGGATGGATGGACGGATGGATAGATAGATAGATAGATGGATGGATGATGGATTGATGAATGGATGTACGGATGGATGGATGGATTGATGGATGGATGGATGGATGGATGGACTGATGGACGGACAGACGGATGGATGGATGGACAGACGGATGGATGGATGGATGGATGCATGGATGGATGGACGGATGGATAGATAGATAGATGGATGGATGGACGGACGGATTGATGAATGGATGTACGGATGAATGGATGGATGGATGGATGGATTGATGGATGGATGGATGGACGGACGGATGGATGGATGGATGGATGGATGGATGGATGGATGGATGGATGGATGGATGAGAGGGCACAGGGCCGTCCCTGCCCACCGCTGAGCCCCGGCTCTTGCAGGACCAAGCGGGAGCTGCAGGTCCGCGTGTCCGACTGCATCCAGCTGAGCCTGCGCGGCCGCAGGCGCCTGCTGGCCGTGGAGACCCGGCCCGACGTGGCCGGCCCCGATTTCGCCAAGAGCCGCGATGGCTTCGTGCTCTACTGGCCTGGCAAATGAGGGTCCCGCTGCCCTCGACCTGCTCCTGCTCCGCCACCTGGGAGGTGGCAACGGTTCCGTGTGCACTGGGAATAAAAGTCTTGGATGAGAGCGTGGGGTGATGCTGCCCAGGACCCCCAGTAGCCTGGGCAAAGTGGCCTGGGGTCCCCACTGTTTGCCCAGGGCCCTAAAATTGGTTACTGGGTGACAGGAGGGATGGGGAGGACGAGATGGTGGAGGATGGAGAGAGAGAAGATGGAGGGAAGTGGGATGGGGTGGACATGGAGGTGGGATGGGGTGGGAGGAGCTGAATTGAGCTGGTGGAGGATGGGATGAGATGAGACAAAGGGGGATGGGACGGGATGGGGTGGGATGGGGCATGTTGGGATGAGAGAGATGGAGATGGGGTGGGATGAGAGGGAGTGGATGAAAATGAGACAGGATGGAGATGGGGCAGGAGCAGAGCGGGGTGGGATGGATGGAGGTGGGTCAGGACGGGATGGGGTGGGGTGGGATGGATGGAGCCAGGCCAGGCCGTTCCGCCTGGATCCCCCTTCTCCCCTTCCCAGAGGGATCCTGGGGGCGGATCCAGGGAATCCTGGATCCCCCTTCTCCCCTTCCCGGAGGAATCCTGGGGGCRGATCCTGGGGATCCTGGATCCCCCTTCTCCCCTTCCCGGAGGGATCCTGGGGGCGGATCCTGGGGATCCTGGATCCCCCTTCTCCCCTTCCCGGCACCTCTGCCGAGCGGCGATCCGGGGGGCGGGGCCTGGGACTCCCCCGCCCCTCCCCGCCCCGGTACCAGGGTCGGTGGGTGGGGCGTCGCCATGGCAACGGAGCCTATTTCCCCCGGGGGCGTGTCTTCACCATGGGAACCGCCCATCACGCCAGCGCGGGGGGTGGAGCGTCGCCATGGGAACCACCCGCCTGACCGGCCCGGGGGGCGGAGTGTCACCATGGGAACCACTCGCCTCGCCAGTCCAGGGGGCGGGGCGACGCTATAACGTCAGCCCCCCCTCTCTCCGCTCCCAGGGGCGGGGCGTCACCATGGGAACCACGCACCTCCCCAGCGCGGGAGGCGGGGCGCCGCTATAGCAACAGCCCCGCCCTCCGCCGCCGCCGGAAGCGAGGGGGGCGCGGCCGGGGCGGGAGGACTCGGTTTCCCGTGGAGCGGCGCGCGCGCTTCCGGCGGGGCGGGCGGGCCGGGCCGGGCCGCCATGGAGGCCGTGCCCCGCATGCCCATGATCTGGCTCGACCTCAAGGAGGCCGGGGAGTTCGCCTTCAACGGCGCCGTCAAGAAGGTGCCGGGGCGGGGGGCGGCCCGGGCCCGCGGCGGGGGCGGAGCGCCGGGGAGGGGGGGTGTTGGGGGGGGGGCGGGACGGTTTGGGGAGGTTTGAGGGGTTTTGAGGGGTTTTGGTGGCTCGGGGTGTTTCCCCGTGGGGTGACTTGGGGGGGTCGCGGAGCCTGGGGTGGGTTGGGGGGTGCGGGGGGTCCCGGGGGTGTTTGGGGATCCCTGGGGGTGTTTGGGGGTCCCCCTGGGGGGTATTTGGGGGTCCCTGGGGGTATTTGGGGGTCCCTGGAGTGTTTGGGGTCCCCCTGGGGGTGCTTGGGGGTCCCTGGGGTGTTTGGGGGTCCCCGTGCGGGTGTTGCGGTGTGTGATTGTTCACGGGGTGCGGGGGACGCGGGGTGTTGGGTGTCGATGGTGCTGGGGGTGCCGGGGGCTCCGGAGCCGTGCGGGGCTCCGGGAGAGCGGCCAAGGGCCCCAGGGAAGCACGGGGTCCCCATGGACCCCCCGGGCCGAGGGGCGGAATTTGGGGCCCGTCCTGGGCACCGGCGGAGCCAGAGCCGGCCCGAGCGCCACGTCCCCGCTCCCGAGGGCATCCCGGACCAGCGATTCCTCGTAATCCGCAAACATCCCGGCTCCGGAGCCGCCGTCCCGTCCCGTTCGGTTCCATCCTGTCCCATTCAGTTCCGTCCCCTTCCTTTCGGTTCCATCCCCTTCCTTTCGGTTCCATCCCCTTCCTTTCCATTCCCATGCATTTCGCAGCAGCAGGAAGGCGAGGGCCAGCCAAGCGACTGCTCCCGGTGCTCCCATTCCTCCCGTTCCCAGCAGCTGGAACTCCCTGTTTCCCCATCGGCAGCCTCTCCAAGCACCTAAATGCTCCGGGGCACCGGACGGGGGGAAAGGGGGGGTCTGTCCGGTCCTGGTCCCGTCAGCTCCACTTCCCAATCCGTGCGTGTCCCACCGAGGGAATTTGCCCTTTTCCGAGGTTTCCGCGGGCGCTTTTCCATGCCCGGTAGCGGGCGCCCGCTGGGGCTGCTCCCCCGCCTTGTTTTGACGACCTCCAAGGTGATTAAGCTCTTAATTACCCGGCTATAAGGAGGGAAATAAAGTGAAAAAGAGGGATTTTGTGGCGCCGCCCGATTCACGGACTGAGCGGGTGGGTTTATCCGGAGCTGGGTTTATCCGGAGCTGGGTTTATCCGGAGCGGGTGGGTTTATCCGTGGAGCGGCGCTGCGGGGGCAGCCGGGCGTCCCGTGGGACCGGAGCGGCCGCGGGAGCTGAGTCATTGCCCGGCATTCCGGGAGCACCGTGGCACTTTACGGGTGTTTTTCCCAGCTCCATGGTTTTCCTGCCCGCTTTCCTTTTCCTTCGCTCCGCGCTCCGGTGCGGTAAGCCCTGTCCCTGGCCAGCCCAGTGCTCGGCCCCTGTGATTCCCTGAATCCGGATGGGAATCCAGGAGGCTTTCTCTTGGTCCGGCCTCAAACCAGGCCAGGGAATTTCCAAGATGTTAGTGATCACGGAAAGTTTTTTTATTGAAGCCCCGGAGTTTTTCCTGGCGCTGGCGCGGGATGGATCCCTGCCTTTTTCCCTGGATTTCATGTCGTTTTTTCCGAGAGGCTTCGAGCAGGCCGCTGGGGTTGGGGAAGGCTGGAGCCCTTCCCTTGGAGCGTCTTTTCCCGCGTAGCTGCCGTAGGGATGGGAATCCTGTGGCATCGCTCCGGGATGGGAATCGCGCGGCGTCACTCCGTGCTGGGAATCCCGCGGAGTTGCTCGGTGTTGGGAATCCCGCAGTGTTGCTCCGTCCTCTGTCGCGTCCCGCGCATGCGAAGGGGTCGCTCATTCCCGCTCCAAATCCCAATCCGGGCGCTCTGGAGGCTCTGGCCTCCGTGAGGCTGCCCTCGGCTCCGGCCATAGGGAATTCCCTTGCACCTCCCTGGAAAATCACCCGGCGGGCTTCAGTTTGGAGTTTGGGAATATTGGGTGTCGCTGCCGGCTCCCGGGAATGCCGCTGGACGCAATCCCGCTCCCAGCGCTCTCTCCTCCCCCAGTTCGTCCTGAAGAACTATGGGGAGAACCCGGAGAACTACAACGAGGAGCTGCGCAAGCTGGAGGGGCTCCGGCAGGTGAGAGATCCGGGGGGTCCCGCTTAGCAGCTCCCGGATCCCGGAATTAGCCGCCGGCTCATCCGTGCGGGAGCGGCCGAGCTGGCTTTTATCCGGCCGCTGCCCTCGTGGTGTGCAGGGAATCTCCCATTTCAGGCGCTCCCACGTCCTTCCCGGCCATTTCCGTCCACTCTGCATCCATCGTGTTGCTCCCTCCTCTCCCTGTTTTTAGGGAAATCACTGTTTGTCCCCTCCTCTCCCTATTTTTCAGGGAAATCCCTGTCATTCCAGGTGTGTTAGGCGGATATTTTCCTTAAGCCTGAGGCCCCGCTCTGCCCTGCGGAGCCGGGCAGGTTGTGCCGCGATGGCGCAGCCCTAAAAATAAGCCAAAATTGTGTCTAATAACCCAATAAACAGGGTGACCTCATGCTGTGGAGCATTATTATTATTAATAGTATTATTATTAATAAACAGGGTGACCTCATGCTGTGGGCATGGGGAGTGGGGAGGCTGTGGGGCGGCGTGGAGGCCCCGTGTCCCCCTGTCCCCATGTCCTCGTGTCCTTGTGTCCCCATGTCCTTGTGTCCCCGTGTCCCCGTGTCCCCCTGTCCCCGTGTCTCCGTGTCCTCGTGTCCCCCTGTCCCCGTGTCCCCGTGTC